CTGCACATCTTCCCATCCACCTCACAACACCGGCTGCAAATAACGAAGTCACCTCTCTACGGACCATGGCCTGAGGAGGACCCGGCGTACGGAAGCACAAAGTCTTTTGCAACATCTACGCTCGAGAAGCTTGTCCCAGTGGACATAGCGGCACAAGGTATGGCGGATTGGGAGAGGGGTGGCCAGCTTCTTAAGGCTTCTGATCGGCCCAGGCCCCAGATGAAGGAGGAGTTGTTGGCCGAGATCACGGAGGAGAGAAAGGCGAGGCGTGCGGAGAAAGAGAAGGATCAGAAGATGATTGCTGCTGGGGGGTTACTGGCAAAGTTTCAGGCCTGTTCGGAGAATGATGGCCGTTGAGACATCGCAGAAAGCGCACCGGGAGAGGAGACCTGCTGCTCGGTTGACCTTTTCGTGGCTGGAATGAACTACACGTACGCCGACCGCTGCCGCGGCCACGACATGAAGCCTAAGGAGAGGCTGGACTGCCGTCCAAGATGCATACGACGGGCTACAGGTTTTGAGGTGCACCCGGTGCCAACCAGGCTGCCCTGTGCTGGAGGATACGTGCGGCTTGGAGATGTGACAAAGTCTTCACTCTCCCGGACAACGAGCGCGGGGTCCTCTCCAACCCGAACGTGTTGGCCCAATGTGCCACGAACTTATCCGACATCGAGCCCGGTAAAGAGACATACGCATCCTTCAGACTTTGGTCTTCATGGGTTTCACAGTTCCGACTTGTAGTATATCCTTATTGTCTCCAATTACGACGATTGGGAGCCACGAGGCACCATAACGATGGATTACTGCAAGGGCCACCTGTCTACCCTTAACATCCTATTGCATGAGACTGCCGGATCTTTGTGCCACTCAGACTATTACGGCGCAATCAGGGACTCATCATAAGGGCTATCATATGGACTTCCATGTCGTCGCCCTGACTGACCAACGCTGCTCACCGAAGAAATCGCCAACCAGGTCTCTTTCCAAGCACAAGATATACACATAAAGGAAATGTCGCCCGTCTCCCTCAATTCCAGGACTTAGCAACCGGAAAGCTTGTCCTGCATCTGATCTGCCCACATAGGCGGCGGGTCTCAAGCTCGTTAACCTCATGTTTTTGGTATACCATGGAAGGAAAGAGTCAGCCGTCGAAGTCCCAACCCAACCATCCAGTATGAGGAATTGGTGCTGATACCGGTGCTTCATCAGTATTGGTCAGTCGAGTCACGTCCGGTGCCAAGCCCGCAAGTCTCTGGGCTTCAGTCATATGGTTTTGAGTATCAAGCTACGTATGCGACTAGATTCTCGGTTGGCACGATGCCTACCGGTGTACATCACATGGTCCTCACTCCAGCTTGCGAAATCAGTGTACAATCTGACAGCTTTCGCATTCCGGCTACACCACAGATGGTCTCTCGAACATCTGGCTGCCACACATTTGAGCTAGATACCAATGAGCATTGACTGCCTTTGGAGAAGACTGAGTTGAGCTATTGAGTGTTCGAACTACAGCGAGGCTGGCCATGAAGCCTCTATCCTGGCAGAGACAGGATATTCTCGATGACTAAAACGGACGATCTATACGCATACGTGACACATGCTTTGGTCAGTTCATAAATGATGCTGACGTTGTTGAGGTCATCTGCCACTTGTGGCTCGGCCATCATTCAAGTTGTCCACATCAAGCTAAAATCAGGGTTCAGGTGCGACTGGGGTAATGGCTGACTGCCGCTTTTCCCACTGCAAACAGAGGTGGGGCTGTTGTCCTGAGACACGATCCCGTCTGTCCTGCCAAGAAACGCGGAGCGGGAGCTAGGCACATACGTCAGAGCCTAACAGGGGAACAGGGGCTGAAAACAGGCTAGGAGGAAGGGACCCTTGATACAGCACATCGTGGTCTAGTGTACGGTACGAGACGCCAGCTCCTTCCCTTTCGCTGCACCGGGTCGCTTGACCTTGTACGTGTTCTGCTCGGCAACCGGGTTGTTGGACGGCACGGATGACGTCGAACGTTACACCCAAGCAATCTGAGGGCTTCTGCCAGGGAGCAAGGAAGCATTCTCACACTTGTTCTACGATGCAGGGTTATTGGTGCCAGAGGGAACGCAAAACGTTTTATAGCTAGACAGTACCTTCCCAGTGACAGTCCACTTTCTGTGGTTCCTCATCTTTCAACCTAATACACGAGGTTCAAGTCCAGAGAACAAAAAGCATACCCAAACTCCTGCCTCTGTGATCCCGTCTGGGTAGCAGTCTTCTCCAACGCTCATATATCCCTAATTCAACGATAACCCATTGTCGACAAGATGGCTCGGACAGGCTTCCTTCACCATATTGGCACCTTCCTGCTATTCGCGGCCACCGTTCTCCTGATCATTACATGTATCTCCTCGCCAGTGGTGCGCCATCTCTCCATCCTGAGAGTCGACTATCGAAACACGGCGGACTCGTCAGTCTCGTTTGGCACATTTGGCTACTGCCTGAACAATGTCGGCAATGGGTAGGTACCACCCCTCCCGCCACGACAACCTCAAGCCGAACAACTACTACACATATACTAACATACCACTCCCAGAGGCTGCTCGAAGTCCCACGTCGGCTACCGCCCCGCCGACGTAATGACGAGCATTGAGCAAACCCAGTTCTCCGACTACTCCCGCTCCACCACCAAGATTCTGACCCGCGTCATGATCCTCCACCCTATCGCCTGCGGCCTGAATTTTATTGCCTTCCTTCTTGCCGCCGGCGCTGGAGTCGTCGGTTCTTTCCTGGCGTCCGTTGTCGCGCTGGTGGCCTTCCTCACCACCGTGGTCATCATGATCATCGACTTTGTCCTGTTCAGCATTATCCGATCCAATGTCAATGACGACCGCACCAACTCCCACGCTCATTACGGTGCTGCAGCTTGGACGATCCTGGTCGCGGCCATCTGCTCGTTGCTGGGTACAATCATCGTCTTCTTCACTTGCTGCTCGGCGAGGTTGCACAAGCGGAGAAACAGGGATACTACGGTCAAGCATGAGTATGTCCAGGACGGCTATGCTCCTCCCGCTACCAGGACCAGACGCAGGTGGTTCTAGATGTTTGCTAGAAGGTGCTTTTTCCTTTGTTTAAAGTTGGCGTCATGCTGAGGGCGTGGTCTGATGTTTTGGTGCTTTTCAATGATTATACCCACGAGGAGCTCTTGCTGTTACGACTTGGTGGAAGCATGTAATTGACTTGGGACTAGTATCCCGTAATAAAATTTTAATAAATCGAAATCTCTATCCTGATGCTACCGTCAACAGCCCTGGGTATCTTTATCGCCTTTACTTTGCCATGTATTCGTGATAATCCGCAACTAAATCCTTAGCTCACCAGTCGACCTTCTCCTCTCCAACCACTCAGCCCCTCTGTAACTCCAGAAACAGAGCAGTCCCCCTAGAAATCCGATGGCATCATTACGAAAGGCCACAATCCCCGCCATAGTAACGAGCAATACCATCCATCTCTCCGCCCGTTCCTCCTCTCCTAGGGTCCTTCTCCTCTTCCCGTTCACCACCCCGTCGTCATCACCAGTCAGCAACCCTTCCGCCGACTCCTCCCACAAGTCCCCTGCTTCTTCGTTGACCGTAACGGCAACTCTGCTCAACTCCACGCCGGCTCCCAGCACCATAACCCCTAACAACGCTCCCGGAAACATCCCTATCACTCGCGTCACGGCGTCGCCAAAGACCAACCCAAGTAATAACTTCACCAACCCAAGTAGGATGATACTCGCTCCACTGCGTGCCCCAAAGCGCCACTGAGCAGCCAGCCCACCAGAACCGTGGCATACCGGCATGGCAGAAAACCAGCAGCTGAGCAGATTCATGCCCGCGACAGAATAGCCTAGTGCTGTAACCGAGACAGAGTGGGCGGGGGAGAGGTCGGATGCCAGGGCCGAAGCGGCGATGATGCTGTTCAGAGTCGTCAGGGGAAGCTGGCCCAGGGCCATGGTTATGGCGGATGAGGATGTCCAGGATGGTAAGGACAAGTGAGGGATCCAAGGTCTCAGAACGCTCCCTCCAGGGACTCCCTCACCATGAATACACGCAATGACAACCCCAACCACAAAAACAACCAGTGCAAAAGGAATTCGACGTCTCGGCAGCGCAAGCGTAAACACCAACCCGACCGCAGCCACCCACCCCACCGCCCTCATCACCCCGTCCTCCTCCCCCGTATACCTCCCACCCACAGAGCTCACCAGATTCAACCCCGCGCCCAGCTGAATCCCCTTGACCACCGGCACGGGGATGTACCTCATCAACAAGCGCAACCCTCCCGTGACCGTCAACATCAACACCGCGGCGCTCACCCACCCACCCGCGGCGGTGATCGTCCCCTTGTCGCTGTGGTTCCGGATGACGTCGGCGGCGATGGCCTTCATGGGCTGGACGGGGAGGGGGATGCCGAACAGCGCGCCGGTGACGATGTTGAAGAGGCCCGAGAAGACGAGCGTGGAGGAGAGCGAGATGGAGCCCTGTTGGGCCAGGGCGAGCATTAGCGGCAGCAGGGTGCCGAGATCGCCCAGGGCGCCGGAGATCTCAGCCCATGGTTGCGACCGGAGGGTGTGGATGTTGTGTTGGTAGCTTCGCTTCAGGCTGACGAGCGCCATGGTGAATCTTGGTGGTATGGCCAAGAAGAAGGGGATGGAGGGTGGAAGTAGTGGCCAGTTTGAGATATATTGAACGGGGACTCAGTGTTGGGTAGGTTCACACGCTGATCTGTCGAGGTGGATCTTTCAACCCGGTTACACGCGTCACTGGAAGTTGGGATCCTGCCGCGGATCTTGCAACGGTTACGTTAATCAAATGAATCAAAACTCTCTAGAAATGCCATAAAATGCTATATTCCAACGAAGTGCTCAAGGATTGTGTGGTCTAGCAGCCAAGAGTGCGTTAGCGAGGCTACAGTAGTTCTAAATGCTCAGCTTTCATATGCTAGGAAATTTTGTTTCTGTTACTAAACGACACCAGGCGTCGATGGTGAAAGGGCTATCATCTGCGCTTCCCATTCCAACGTGAACCCTGCGCAGGGTCCGAGTTCGAGTCTCGGTCGACGCACATTTCCTTTTGCACCCATCTTGAACCTTTCTTCCGTACTTTTTCTTTTTCTGCTATACTAGAAACACAGTGGTGTCTTTTTTGTCTCATCCCAACGGCAAAACAATGCTTCAGCATCGTAAGGGGTTAATCAAGCTCCACATTCGGCGTTACGGACAGTCTTGTACTCATTGGCAGCACGACGCACATTAGGATATAATTTCTATCTACCACACCATCGCAGCTGCCAGAGCGCTATATGGGTCACACTAATCCAAGCCGACTGTGGGCTGCTGCTTGGTCATACCCTGTAAACCCTGCTATGATAACCGTACAAAAGCCCATTCTGCCCTTTGAGTCCTCCCAAATACTATACCAGAATGCAACATGATGAGAGTCTGTAGCCAGTTCTCATTGCCTTCAAAACTCGCTCAAGTAATATTCGCTATTACACAGGGTATCATAGAAAAATGCGAATGAACAATGACCAGACACAAAGAAAAAACTTATGCTGAAACGGAGGCTCCATGTATCATGCATGCTCCCCTCTCATGCGTCCCACAACTCAGCTAGCGATGCCTCGAATGACCACTGCCTCATTTCTCCCGCAGCAGACAGTGAAACGAGCGAGATCCTGTTCAGTCGTGTTAGTACCGGCCCTATAGTCTACACGTATCATCGTGGAATGTGACATACCTTAACCACGACAGAACCGGCGCCAACGGTGACGCCTTTGCCAATGCGGACTCCAGGCAGGATGACAACGTTGGCACCGATCCAAACATCATCCTCAATGATGACGGGTTTGCCATACTGGGTGCCCCGGTTACCCAGGCGGCGGCGATAGTCGGTCGATGCGGTGCCCGTGTAAATGCTCACGTTGGGGCTGATCAGGACATTGTCACCGATGCTAACCTCGCACACGTCGTTGATGAAACAATTGCGTCCGATGGAGACATAGCTTCCGATCCGGATGTTGTAGCCATAATCGCAGTTGAATGGAGCCTCGACAATGACGGACTTGTCGCCCACTCGACCGCCCTGTCCTACAGGGGAAGTAAGGTTGGGCGAGAGCTGAACGCCATTGGTCGGCTGAAGGATCTCCTTGAAAAGCCTTGCACGTTCGGCGGCCGATACACCAATGCTTGGGTTGGTCGAGTTGTTGAACCGCCAGCAGGCCGCACTGCACCTCTCCCGTTCCAGAACGAGCTCCTTCTCGAACGGATAATAAGGGCGACCGTTGATCATCTCGTCCTTTTCCCTGCGGTTGTTGGAGAACTGGGTGTGGGACAGCGCCAGGGCTGCAGTGCCCTGAAGGGGCTGTGGTTGATGACCTTGAGAAACGGGCTGCGACGACGGGCTATTCGTCCTGGTGGCATTCAGTACTGATATCCTAGGCAGACCTTCGCCGTGCTGAGCGTCCGGCTCGGCGCGACTCGGATCATGGAGCGGGGGCATCCGCTGATATTCCTTCGGAGTTCTGTCCATGGGAGTGGTTCGATCCGTGAAGGCAGACATGGGAGCGGCACTAAGTGGTGTCGGAAAGACGTTGGCAGGGTTTGTGAAGGCGGAGAGGGCTGAAAGTTTGTTGTCCGGGCTATAAATCGAGGAACTAGGAAGAGTTGATGCAGTCGGTCGGTCGTCGTCGGACATAAGAGGTCGACCTTGAGGAGGATCGATGCGGAGGGGTTGCCCACGATATGAAGGCAGAGGTTCACGCTTCTGTTGCTGGGGATTAAGTATTGGTTGACTGCTTTGTTGTGATTGTGGTTGAGGCATCCCGTAAGCACCAGGTGGGACATATGTTGGATCCTTCGACTCGATCTGGACAGCACTAGGCTTGTTTTCTGGCTTCATAAACGCGCCTCTTTGCGGTGGATATCCAGCACAGACAAACTGCCCCCGAACACAGTTGCTACCTGGACGCATTGTCAATATGCGTATGTCCAACGTGAGGTCATCAGGCAGTAACAAAACACGGCCAAAGTGACGGCCCACGCGCCGCATCCCCTGCTCTTCCCGACAGGTCGCATGGTTTGCCGCCTTCGACCAGACCATGGAGCCCGACCGCAATCGCAAACCGCTACGTCGCTCCAAAGGTGGAAAACATTAAAGGAACAATAACAAATAAACAGGCAACAAGCTGAAGACAACTCACATTCGGGTTTAGCCTCATCACACTTCTTCTTCCTTTTCCTACACGTCAGGCATCCAGTTTTTGTCCGGTTGCTGAAGTTGCGCTTCCTTTTCTTGGGGTCTCCTTGCATGACCCCGTCACGACGTTGCTCTGGCGTGTATTGACCCGAGTACATAGACATGGGCTCATCTCCGTCCGGACTGGTGCCGTATTCGCTGCCATCCATCTGACTGGCTGCTGTAGCCCTGCGGAGAGTCTCGCCGATCTGCTCATCCGATATTTGTGCAGACTGTTGGCGTGACTGTTGTTGCTGGTCGTACAGCGTCATCTCCTCCCTCCCATGGGAGTGCCAATCATCATGACGCCCACGGGCCTCCTCAGTAAACGGCCGATAATCTCGTTGCGGCGTACCATAGGAGTCACGTGAGGATGCAGCAGGTCGCTCCGACCGGTCAGCTGGCTCAACCGGGGTGCTCGGAACACGATCTCGGCGAACCTCGTCCGCCTCGGAGCGCTTCCGCTTGTGAGAGGCGTCCATATCTGGATAAGCAGCTGACTGTATATTTGGCAGACCAGACTCTATCCTTTTCAGCTCGGGATATGACGGCCTGTCGTGGTTCTGGGACGACCATCTTTCGCCCTCTCGCTGGCTGGTCGACACCTCTGCCGGTCTTCCTTCTGAATTTCCCGATGGTGCGGTACTGTGTCCAGGTGGGCTTGCGATCTTGACGTCTATGTTGCCGAGAGTGCCTTCCACCGGCTTCGGTGAACCAGACCCTCCGTTGAGAGCTGTAAAGGTTGCCATGTTCCAGAAGGCGCAGTAGTCTTGGCGATGGGTTCATGAAATGGCCGATTGCCCACTGCTTCTTTCAAAGGACCTTCTTCTTGGTTGTCCCGCGGGAGGCGATACAAGCCAACCAGCTCCAAGGTACCAGTAATTCAGGTTGATTCAATGTGACCTGACCGTCCGTGTAAGATAAAAGATGTCCAGAGTAAGTGATGGTGCTCTCACAGTTAATTGTGGAGAGGAAAGATGAACGGGGACACGTCAGAAGGCCCCCCCCCTAAGAACATAAGCTTTCCCTGTAACTCTTTTCTGGTTGACACAGCAGGTGCAGAAAGGTCGGTCGAGAGCCAATTCTCTCCTATCCTACTCCCTAGTACGGGCGTTCCCCTCTTTTTGAAACGCCAATCCAGCTGGTCGCTCGGTTGCTCGGTATCCCAGCAAAGCGTGCTGATAAGTTTAAGCGTCCTTTTGCGCGGTGCGGCGGGAGCTGATGGAGCTTAATCCCGACCTGAGACGTGATTAAACAAACGGGTCCTCTGGCGCTAGGAGAAGATTGGTTTGACGCGCGATTATGCCTGCGTCTGTCGGAAACCGCTGGAACCACACCAAAGTTGGAAAGCTAAGCCCCCCTCTCCCTTTTCCCCAGTGGAGTTGAGTTGGGAAACCCGACAGAGGCAAACAATGCGCGTACCCTGTGTAACCAAGGGAAAACCCACCCAAAAGAAGTATTGGGCTTTGAGTCTTGCAGGATGTCGGGTATCGTAGACGTATTACTCTTCTTTGGGGGAACCAAAAGTGAGATTTGGGGAGAAGAGAAGGATGGTGGAAATAGCTTGATGAATTTCCCAAGGCTCTTCTTACTTGTGTGTCGTGCAGATGGATGTTCCAGGCGGACAGGAGCAGTACCAGCAGCCCCAAGAACGCCGAGAAGCACGGTTGTTCGCCCGTCTCAATCTAGGAGGCGGGGTGTGGCAGGGAGGCGGGCAGAAGGGGTCGCCGTAGTATTACTGGGAAAGGAAAGGGCGGTCGGCGACCAGTGTAACCCGACGATTTGATTGATCTGAGTTGAATGGGGGAAGTGAGGGCCAGCCCAAGTGGGAATAATCCATCAACATCAAACAAAACCTGGAAACCCGACGAGATTGTGCCGGTGCGGGAGTTGTTCCAGATTTTGTACAAGTTTGTCAATCTTCGAGAACAGGCGACCCGTCATGAGCCAGGCGCTCAAGTGTCGCTAATCTTGGGCAGGAGGACCGAATCCCTTCTCGATGCATGGCGCTTCGTAGGCCGCACCGAGAACAAATCGTTGCCAGATGCTGTACCGGTACTTGGGCCATTCAGGGTGGAAGGGTCAGGGAAGGTGTGGCCGGGAGTGTGACACGGTAGGTACGTACCCCCGCGAATCGACAGGGGCGGATGTCCCTGCGGTGAACGAGTAGCCAGTTGCGGAATGGTATCTCCCGACAAGACATCAGTCCGTAAACCATACTCGCCTGCCAGTGTGAGGTAGTACGTATCCTCTTGATCCTCTGGCCAACTGCACGCTTGTCGCGCATCGACAAGCGTCAACTCCCGCCCGTGGACACCATGATGGCAGTAGTAATCTGCAATGCTCGGCACACAGTTTGGCAGGGGGATCATCGATCTGCACGGGGGCAATGGAAGCACGCTATTCTTGCACCTTCAGGGTTGCATGGAGGACCGGGATATGAGAATATCGAGCAGCATCATTGCAGAGTGACCGATGCAGGTTGCTTGCTCATCAACGTCTAATAAGGGGAACTCCGAAGATGAAATGACATGGGATTGGATTGGTTGCACAAGAGCTTTACAGCACATGGCAAGCTACATTGTAGATCTGCGGCACAGCCAGGTACCTGTAGTGGTGAGTAGACCGATACTGAAGCCCAGATACAGTAGTAGATGCGATTTGATCTCACAAGCGACCATGAGCCGCGAAGGACGGGCTCGCTAAACTTGGGGGTTCCGTCCACGCTGTGCTGCGTATGCGCAGAACCAACAGACATCGGAATTATCGATTTATAGTCCACCACGCTCTATTATTTAGTTCTAATTTAGACCACCCTGACTGACTTT